TTAAGAAAAAAAGTTAAATTAACGAAAAAGGCATACATTGCTGAATTCTCGTTCGAAAATTATATTTCGGGGATATAGTAAAAGCACGAAAATCCTTGTAGAAATAAAGACTTGAAGTTAACTTTCATTTAGCATCGCTTCGGTGAGTTATTTGAGCGTTGTGGTTACCTAAAATAAAACATGATCCAATCATCAAAAAATAAAGAGTAAAACTGCCAGATCTATACAATTTCAGTGAAAACAACGCCAGTAGGTACACTAAAAAATTAATAACCGTCAGAAATAACCGATAAAAGTAGCCAAAAACAATAGCCGACCTATAAACCGAGATCCAAAGATGTTTAGCTGTGAAAAATGATTAACAAAAAATAAAATTGAGAAAAGAAAAAAAAGCTTATTTAAAGAATTCACTGCTATATCACAATTAATGTAAGCAACTGCCATATATTGAGTGACAATTATCACTTTTAAAAAAATCTTCAACTTTTGATGCACTGAATAATGCTACAAAATGGACGTAAAGTAATATAGTGCAGAACTGTCATCCACCTATTATCTTACGGAAAAGCTAAAAATGACCCACTTATGATACCGGTTTATTTAAAAAACTGAAAGTTGGAAAGAAAAAACTTCAGCAGAAAGTTATGCAGAAAAAACTTCAATTACTCGTCTTCAAAACAGCTACATATCTCAACCAGTCTTTACCGTCCTAAAGTAAGTGTGAAAAAAAGCAACAGTTATAAAAAAACGGTGTAGGCAAAAATACAACAACTTTTCCATCGAAAAAAACAACTCTTTTTTTGAAAATAGTGACAGTTTTATCCCACATTACCAAACTGTAGCTGTAATAATCGATTTGTTGGTGAAAAAAAATATCATCAAGCATTGTTGACGGACGTCTTCAAAGCATGAAAAGGGGTTAGTCAATATCAGAACCATCAACCATTGTACACCCGTTCTCATCTCCAAATAGCTCACCAGCCGCGACTCGTTATAGCGGAAAATGTCGAGTTGGCTGAGTTCCAACACTTCAGTATTTTGCTTGCTGCTGCATTCAGCAGAGTTTACTTTGAAGGGTGCTAAAATTATCCGCAAATTTTGTATATCTTTTTTGGGTTTTCCGCGTTACATATGATTTCTGTTTTCAGATTTTTCCTGCCTCGGTGAGATGCGAAGAAGAAAAAATTTGGAAAGAGAAAACCAGTGAAGAGTAAAGATGTCTCGAAAAAAGCTAAGCCCTACTACTTTCAACCGGTAGTTTGACTCGTGAAATACCGTTAAAACCAGGCTGGTCGCACAAGAAAGAATATTTTCTGAACTGTCTTATCAGCATCTTTGCAGCTGCAATCGTATGGCAAGAAATTACAAAAAACCTAGAATTAGTCTGTGTATCAGGGAAAAAACCATTCAGCAGCAAAACAAAAATGTCTGCCACTGGATCGTTTCAAAAATAATAACTGGAATGAGTAAGTAAAATAAGAAATAATTCAAGGTCCACTAAAAGCTAGAAGGGAGAATAAAACAACTATAAGGAGAAATATGAAGTAAATTTAATAAGCGCAAACATATGTTGGAAGTGGAATACAGAAAAAAGACTGCATGATAAAGCAACGTAGTTTCCTGTGACACTGCAGTTTAAGTTAACAAAAGTTTTTCAAATAGGAATAACCAAAATCTATCAAGAGAAGAAAATTGCAAGAACATAAAATTTTTATTTTCGAAAAAGCAGTTACGCAATTCAAAACTGTCGTCACCTCAGACTTCTTAATTC